GGCTTTGTCCCTGACGCGCCTGGCTGGCAGTTTTATGACCCCGCCTCGCGCCGTGTCTTTCCGTCTCAGGACGTCACCTTTGACGAGTCCGTCCCCTTTTACCGTCTCTTTCCCTACCGCACTGCTCCTCGCCCCCCCCCGCCGCTCTTTCTCGCCCCAGGTCCTCCCCAGGTAGACCCCCTCCCCGCGCCAGGTCCTGCTCCTTCAGGTGTTTCTCAGGTAGACCCTCCCGTGCCTGCGCCTGTTGAGGTCACTGGTGACTCAGGTCCTACTGGGGGTGGTGCTGTCTTTGGGGGTGCTGAGCCTGGGGGTGCGGAGCTTGGGGGTGCTGAGCCTGGGGGTGCGGAGCTTGGGGGTGCTGAGCCTGGGGGTGCGGAGCTTGGGGGTGCTGAGCCTGGGGGTGCGGACCTTGAGGGTGCTGAGCTGGGGGGTGCGGAGTCTCGGGGTACTGAGCCTGAGCGTGAGGAGCCTGGAGGTCCTGAGTCTGGGGGTGCGACGCCTGAGGACTCTGAGTCTGCTCCTGCGCGGTCTCCTTGGAGTAGCCGCCTTCGTACGCGTGTGCCTCTCACCTCACAGCAGCTACACGACTGGTACGGTCGCCGTCAGGGTCGTGCTTCTGGAGCTCGGGGCTCTGCCGCTGGAGGTACTTCTGCTGACACCGCTGGAGCTGGGAGTGGTGCTGGTCCCGGAGGTGCTCGCACTGGAGGTGCTGGAGCTGCTGGGGCTGGAGGTACTGCTGAGCCTGAGGGTGCTACTGCTGGAGACCCTGGGTCTGGGGGTGCTGTTGCTGGAGACACGGAGGCTGGAGACCCTGGGACTGGAGATGCCGGTTCTGGGGGTGCTGCTGAGGGTACTGGAGCTGCTGAGGGTGCTGGAGCTGCTGAGGGTGCTGGAGCTGCTGGAGGTGCTGGAGCTGCTGAGGGTGCTGGAGCTGCAGGAGGTGCTGGAGCTGCTGAGGGTACTGGAGCTGCTGGAGGCGCTGGAGCTGCTGCGGGTGCTAGAGCTGCTGGTGCTGGTGGCACTGCACAGCCGCGCCCGTTCTTTGCTCCACCGTCTCCGTCGTCTCTGCCACCGCCTGACTCCGTACTTCGCCAGGTTCTTAGCCTCCCGTCGTCTACTGGTCTTCCGTTACAGCCTGGCTCACCTCTGCCTGCTCCTTCTCCTTACGCTGAGCAGACAGGGGGCGTTACTGAGCGTCGTGAGCCTGCGTCGCGTCCTGTCTCACCGGTCCGTTCTGGTCGTTCCAGTCGTCGTGTTCCTCGTCAGCGTCCGCCGGCTGTCCCCGGTCCTTCCCTTGTAGTCCGTCGTCCTTCCTCTCCTCCGCAGCGTGTTCCTCTGCCGTCCCCTCCGGAGTCTTCTCTGCCTGTTGTTCCAGACCCTGAGTCTGACCGGTTTCGTGCTGAGCACCCTACTGTCACGCGTCTGCTAGCCACTGTTGTCACTGACCCGTCGTTTGAGTCTGCTGCTGCGTCTGCCTTAGTCGCTGAGCTTGTTGACTTTGCTGCTGCCTGTCGTCTAGACTACGCTGCTAGTCTTGTTGCTGAGTCAGAGTCTGTCTGTCCTCCGTCCGTCGGGGGTGAGTGTGCTCTTGGCACGGACGTCCTTGAGGACAGGCACGAGGACCTTGAGTGTTTTGCAGCCGTTGCGCCTCATCTTGTGTCCATGCTGCTTGCCCCTGAGGGAGACCCGGATGCACCAGACATCCCGACCCCGCGCTCTTACGCTGAGGCGATCGCGGGTGAGTACTCCTCTCAGTGGCAGACAGCAATGGATGCAGAGATGGCATCCTGGAAGTCCACAGGCACCTACGTCGACGAGGTTCCCCCTCCTTGGGCGAACATCGTCAGTGGCATGTGGATTTTCAGGGTGAAGCGGCCGCCAGGTTCTCCGCCTGTCTTCAAGGCGCGTTACGTTGCACGAGGTTTCAGTCAGCGAGAGGGAGTAGACTTCTTTCAGACCTTCTCCCCCACCCCGAAGATGACCACTCTTCGCGTGCTGCTGCACGTTGCCGCTCAGCATGACTACGAGCTTCACTCTCTTGAATTCAGCACAGCCTTCTTACAGGGCAGTCTGCACGAGGAGATCTGGCTGCGCCGCCCTCCTGGCTTCACTGGGTCGTTCCCTCCTGGTACCCAGTGGAGCCTCAGGCGGCCGGTCTACGGTCTCCGCCAGGCGCCACGTGAGTGGCACGACACACTGAGGACGACACTTGCGGCTCTTGGGTTTGCTCCGTCGACTGCTGACCCGTCGCTGTTTCTGCGCACCGACACTTCGCTGCCGCCGTTCTACATCCTCGTGTACGTCGACGACTTGGTCTTTGCCACTGCTGACACTGAGGCTCTCGCCCTGGTGAAGTCGGAGCTGCAGAAGAGACACACGTGCACAGACCTGGGTGAGCTGACAAGCTATCTTGGCTTGCGGATCACCCGGGACAGAGCACGCCGCACCATCACACTGACTCAGTCACACATGGTGCAGCAGGTCCTTCAGCGCTTCGGCTTCACCTGGTCCTCGGCACAGCCCACTCCTCTGGCTACAGGTCACTCGCTCTCAGCTCCACCTTCGGACGAGTCCGTAGAGCCAAGTGGTCCTTACCCAGAGCTAGTGGGCTGCCTCATGTACCTGATGACCTGCACTCGTCCTGACCTTGCGTACCCTCTTGGCCTTCTGGCTCGCTACGTGGCTCGTGGTCGGCACCGAAAGGTGCACATGGATGCTGCCAAGAGGGTACTACGCTACTTGTGCAGTACTTCGGGCATGGGGCTCGTGCTTGGAGGACGGAGCGACGTTGTGCTCACTGGGCACTCAGACGCTTCTTGGGTTGACGACCAGGCTACGCAGCGGTCGTCACAGGGTTACACCTTCAGCCTTGGTTCTGGTTCAGTTTCCTGGCGTTCTACACGCTCGTCTTCAGTTCTCGGCTCCAGTTGTGAGGCCGAGATCTACGCCACGGCTATGGCGGCACAGGAGCTACGCTGGCTCACCTACCTGCTGACCGACTTGGGAGAGCGGCCTCGTTCTCCTCCAGTGCTGTACGTCGACAACAAGGCCGCCATTGCCTTGTGTCAGGAGCACAGACTGGAGCATAGAACGAAGCACATCGCTCTGCGTTACTTCCTTGCTCGAGAGCTGCAGCAGCGTGGCCAGCTTCGTCTTGCTTACGTGGCCACTCGGGCCAACACTGCTGATATATTCACCAAGGTTCTTCCGTCTGGTGATCATCAGCGTTTCTGCACTTTGTTAGGCCTTGTGCCCACGTTTCCTCACTTGCTGTAGGCTTTGATTGTACTGTGATTTATATGTATACCTGCATGCTTGCTCTTGTAGGTAGAGATCACTGTGCTGTTGTTGTTACATATATATCTCTGCATGTGAACTGGCCTTGTGGCCTGTTGCTTGTGCTCAGACTGCGTGGTGACGTTGTGATCCACCCTGAGCTTGCTTTGCACTTCCCGACTGGTCTTGTGACCCTCTGTTCTCCCCCACTTTGCCTATGGGGGTGTGTCAAACATATGTTTATATGTTTCAGTTTAGGTAGGCTTAGTGGGGTACTCTCTGTGGGGTACAACCCCTTAGGCTTTTCCTTGTTGTACCAACTCTCTCGATAGTTCAATTCACCTTGCCTAAGCTTTGACACGTTGTTCGCCCGTTACTACTAACGGGGCTTCGCCAACTTCGCGCGCACTGTTTTACGAAACCTTGCACTGCTGGCCTGGCCGAGTCGGCCCACGCTTCGGGACTAGCCCGAACCTCGATGCCAGCCTATCACTAGCTAGCTCGCACGGACCGTGTAACCGTTGCATGTTTCGCACATAAGTATTCGCTCATGCCTTCGCTCATACTTTGTACTTTTGACCCACATAGTGCAATCCTCGCTACCTCGTTCCATTGCACCCGTAACATAAAGACTTTATTGGAGTCTCACCATAGAGATTCCTGAATATAGATTAACCAGCTGACTTCCATGCAGTTGTTACAATATTGTTATATCAGGGCAGCATACATGAATGTACTCTGCGCACTAATTTTTGCGATTTAAATTCACGATATCAGAGGGAAAATATATGGTGGATAAATAACTGATTTCTATATTGTTGAGTAGGAGCCAATATACGAATAGCAATGTATTTCATGTGTTTGTGCTTAGAGGTTGGTTGTGCTTGTCCTCGTTGCATGCTGTCTCCAAACCGTGGTAGGCTGTGGTTCCGCGCGCTGATGATCCTGATGGAGTGTGGCACGAGGCTCTTTTCAAATTTCAGCTGGTCCTAACCTAGGAAATACCGTATAGTGCTAGTTTCCTAACACCTTCGGTTTCTCGAGAGAGTGCGGAGCAGAACAGATCACCTAGCCAATGAGGTGTTAAAGGCGGGGTGCAACTTCTTAGGAACAGTAGCAGGACAAATATGGAGTGTGTGTAACGGGACCCTTACTGGACGAAAAAATTGGAATCTCGCACAAGACAAACCTCTCGCCACTGAACTGCCTGCGACTACCAAGTTTCAAGCTATAATACCCTGAAGTTGAAGCTGATAGTTGGGCCACGGCTTTAATATGGTCCGTACGAGTTACATGCTTCGATTATTTTCGCTCGACACTTGCTCTGCTTCCAGCTGGTTCCTTTCCCATTGCGTCTTGCCCATAGGATCCAACCTCGATTCCACTCGACATCGCGTTTAGCCTTGTAGGCAAGCAACGAGGAGAAGCGTGCGTAGACGGGACAGCGCGTTTATATTCTCATGACACCGATGGGTCGTAGTCGATGATTAGGGTTACATAGTTCGGTGGCTGTTCTTCCGTTGCATGTTCGCGTCGGGGATCTGCGAAGCTGCGTCGGGGAGGGATCCGATTTTACTGGTGCTTGGATTGGCCCTTACCAGCTACTTGTTTTAATTCGTTATAGAGAAACAGATCAAATTCGAGTTTTACCGGGGAGAATCTTCTGACTCGATCTTTGCGACACAAATTAGACTCTGCGACAATCGATTAGACATTGCGACACAATGGCTTCGCTCGAGATGACCGATATGAAGAGTACGTTTCTTTTCCTAAGAGTACGTTGCGTACACCTGGCCTGCGACCTGGTCCTAGTCGCACGTCACAGCAACCTATGAGACCAAGTTCGTTTGTCTCATAGGTTGCTGTGAATTGCGCTGGCCGTCGCGTACACCTGGCCTGGATCTGCGTGACTTGGTCCAACCTACGTGACCATTCCGAGTTCGCTTGTCTCATAGGCGCTGGCCGTGCATCTATATTTCATCTGATCACGCACTGTTTCTGGTTAACTTTTGAGTCGACTCAAAAGTCTTTTGGTTCGACTCAAAAGTCACTCCGTGCATCTATATCTCATCTGATCTCGCACTGTTTCTGCAATCTGATCTTGCATCTGAAGCATTGCGTTCAGTCTCGCCTGGTGTTTTGTGTCAGCCAAAATGCGACTCCCTTCAGGCGCCCCTAACCCAATCCCAAGCCATCAGCTTCTTGTCTCTTCCCTGACTCGTAGTGGTTTTCTTCTCTTCCTGCCCTGAATATTTTGGTATCTCTTGTCTTCTTGTTTTTTCTTGACTCTTCTGGCCGCGTGTGCTGCGTGCCTGCAGAGATTGGCATTGGGCTGACTGCGTTTGGCGTGCTCTTCTCGTTTCTCGGAGTCATTTTCTTCTTCGATAAAGGGCTGCTGGCCATGGGGAATGTGAGTACGGCATGGGAAAGCACGCCGCTCAGAGATCGGCATTGGGCTGACTGCGTTTGGAGTGCTCTTCTCGTTTCTCAGAGTCATTTTCTTCTTTGATAAAGGGCTACTAGCCATGGGGAATGTGAGTGCAGCATGGGAAGCGCAAATATGTCGTGGAGAATGTGATGATTTTCCTGGCAAGGTGGTTACGACCTCGAAGCCTTTTTCTTTTTGATAAAGGGCTACTGGCCATGGGGAATGTGAGTACAGATTGGGAAACGCGATCGTTTTCTAAAGAATGTGTTAAGTTTGATTCTTGTGTGAATACGGCCTCGGAGTGACCTTTTTTCTGCTACTGGCCATGGGGACTGTGAGTGCGGCATGGGATACGCAATCATGTCTTGGAGGACGTGATCATTTCGCTGGTAATGTGATTACAACCTTGGAGTTACTTTCGTCTTTGTTACAGGGCTATTTTCCATGGGAAATGTGAGTATTCGTGGAATTACGATTAGTTAGTGGGGAATGTGCTTATATTGTGGAGAGATTGAACACCTTCCTTCTTATTTTCACAAAATGGCTTCCTGATTAGACCCTTGAATGACCTGATTCTGCCTTTGGCCTGAAGGGAAAGAACAAGGGAGCTTCACGCATGCCCCTGACTGAAAATACTGTAGCAATGTTTTAAGTACATATTCGAGCTGTTTGCATCAATAAGGGCCAGACTTCACCCCTTCTTATCTAACTGATTGTGGCAGATCTTGTTTCTCGCGGGAGTGACACTCACAATCGGTCTGCAATCCACCATCTCCTTTTTCACAAGGCGAAGAAACAGAAAGGTGGGGCTGCTGTCAGTCTTCTGAACTCCCTCTGATTCTTACCCCTCATGATATCTGCGCATGCATCACCCCTTGGGAATGGAAACGGAAATTATTTTCTTATACTCCTCCTCGTGCCTGTCTGTTGTCTCTCTACGGGGTCTTCGCATTTCAATGTGTGAAGGAACAGAGCCTTTTTCTTTTATTTTATTTTTGTCCTCCTGACACTTTCGTTGACATGTGAAGGATATGTAAAGAATCATTTCCTTCACATGCTGCTCTTCATTGCAGCCACTCCACAATGCTTTACCATGATGTCCCCTTGGCGTTTTTTGAGGCGCCTCAAAACATAGACGACTTTTGAGGCGCCTCAAAACTCTTCATTGCAGCCACTCCACAATGCTTTACCTTGTCGTCCCCTTGGCGTTTTTCCTCTCTGGGCTCGTCCGTGTGCTGGTTGGGTGGACAATGGTTGGCATGGCAATCCAACCACACTGCTTGCATTTGTTGACTTTCCATGTTCTCCCTACTTCCTCTGCAATAGTGCTCAGCGTTAGTCCCCGTGAGGCTGGTCAATGTGCCAGTTGGGTGGACTAGGGTTGGCACGATAGTCCAATCCAAGCATACACCATCATGTCACCATGTCCCAAGTTCTCCCTTCTCTCCTCTGCAACAGGGCTCGTCGTCGTTTTTTCTCTCGTCTCGCGGTTGGTCCTTGTGATTGGGTGGCTGGATTAAGGTTATCATGTCAATCTAAGCACACAACTAAATTCGACTATGTCTCACATGCTCCCCATTCTTCTCTGCAACAGGGTTCGGCGTTTTTCCTCTCTGGGTTGGTCCTTGTTGTGATTGGCTGGACAATCGTTGGCATGGCTATCCAAGCATATGGCTTCGTTCTACTCTTCAGGTAGGCATGGAATTTTAGGTGTATTCTGGGTTGACTCAGAGTTCTCCCCGATTATCGTTGGCATGACCATTCAAGCATATGGCTTCATTCTACTCTTCAGGTAGGAATGTTATTCTAGGTGTATTTTCTGTTGATTCAGAGTACACCTAGATGATAATTGGGATGGCTATCCAAGCATATGGCTTCGTTCTATGGTTTTTTTTTGTAGTAGTTTAATTGAGGCTCCTAAATTTTACACGCATTTGGCTTCTTTTGTTATGAATCTCATCCCTTGTTCATTTCTTCTCCTCCTAGAAATTGTGCTCCCTTTATCACTTCGAAGTTTGTTCAAAAGTCATTTCCTCCCAATATCTGCTTCCTAGATGGCCTTAAGTTTAGGGTTCAAAGGTCATGTCCGCCTAGATGCTCCTAAACCCTTGACCTTAAGTTGACTCAAAAGTCATATCCTTTTGATTCTTGCTCTTTAAATGACTTGAAGTTGTTTCAAAGGTCAAATCTTTTGAACATATGCTCTGTAGATTGTCACAATTCAACTAAAAAGTTCTCCTTACACGTGCTCTTTCCTTGATCCTGCTTCTCCCTCGCGCTTGCCCCTCCTTCACCCGCTCCCGCTCGTCCTCTTCCTCTTCCTCATTCTCTTCCTCTTCCCATCCTCTTCCTCATCCTCTTCCCCTTCCTCTTGGTCTATCGCCTGGCAGCGGCTTTCTTCCCACTCTTCTCGTTTTCGTGCTCCTGCTTCTGCTCATCTTCTTCATCTTCTTCTTACTCTTCCTCTTGCTCTATCGCCTGGCAGCGGCTTTCTTCCCACTCTTCTCATTTTCGTGCTCCTGCTTCTGCTCATCTTCTTCATCTTCTTCTTACTCTTCCTCTTGCTCTATCGCCTGGCAGCGGCTTTCTTCCCACTCTTCTCATTTTCGTGCTCCTGCTTCTGCTCATCTTCTTCCTCTTCTTCTTACTCGTCCTCTTGCTCTATCGCCTGGCAGCGGCTTTCTTCCCACTCTTCTCGTTTTCGTGCAACGGATTCCTGTGCTGGGATGGCTGCTGGATCAACCGTACATGCGTCAGGTGCGCTAAATTGCATTGCAGCGCTTCATCCATTCAGACAACCGTTTTATTGCTTGCTTTTTGAAAGTCCATTTACTTTTGCTGCTGTATGCAACAGGTGGGTACCAATGGATTGAGGCTTGAGTTGATATATTATTGTTTGTGCTACACTCACAACTCTTTGTGTTCCGGGGTTTGTTTCTTTGTTTTTTGGCAGTTCTTGGGAAGATTCAGGGATCATATGCCTCCATAGATTTCTACAGGATAGACTGTAGTTCTCGATAGAATTTGCTATTACCGTATGAGCGCCGCTGATCAAGCCAGACTATTTAGGGCATCTAGCAATGTGCAAATAATTGCCAGGTATGATTGGAAAGTCGTGATTTGTGTGAGGCCATCTCTTTGGTGCTAAAATGGTACCAAGCACACAGCTACCGCTTTTCACCAAATATATATATATATATATATATATATATATATATATTTGTCATGGTGCTGACTGGTACTCTGGCACTCATCTCCCTCGCCCCATGGGCTTCACTTTTTGTTTCGGAACTCACTTCTTGGTTATTCAATTTTGTGCGAGCAAGTAACAGTAGCGGAACATACTGTATGACAATGTCGGCGCCCTCCTGTACAGTGCTGAGGGCCCTGACAACCGTCACCCAATCAGATCAGCTTTCGATCTCCCCTCCAGTTTCCCGCCTTCACCGAGTGTTACCCATCTTCCTAGGGATCTCCCTCTCCACCACCCAAAATGCTCGAAAAATCCACGCTTTCTTTCGGTGGGTTACGTTCCAGAATGGTAAAGTGTGTGAATAGCGTGCAACCGTGAGAAACCGAACAGAATCGCAGTGCGCCGAACAGACCTAGAATCCGCTTGACACTTCTGGTCATGAACAAACGATTTTGATGATCCCTGTGAAGTGAGGAATCATTATAGCATTTCTGGCAGTAATACAGCCTTTTTAGTGCAGTCAGCCTCCTAGGAGACAGCCTGACTGGAAGGCCATCAGTGGCCGGTTTAGCTATCCTGCCGCAGCAATTTCAGGTTGCAACAGTTATAGCTAACGGTCTTAATCGCCTGGCTAACGTTGATATTGCAGGCCGTTTCACCATCACCACAATTTGTGTGGTAGTCTTGTCAGACTGCTAGCAATAACAGCTGATTACAGGATCTGACAACTCAACATCATGAGGAGCTTATTTCTTCTCCTCCTCGCGCTGCTGCTCATCGCACAGCCGTTTGCGAAGCAAGCTTCGTTCCTTTCGCGAGCTCACGAGGTTGACGACGAGAGTTACTCGGTCGGCGACGACGAAGAGCCCTTAGAAGCCGACGACTCCGAAATCCCCGAAGGTGACGACGGCGACGTTGTCGCACTCACGGATGCGACTTTCCCACAAGCTCTTAAAGACAATAAGCATGTATTGGTTGAATTCTACGCTCCGTGGTGTGGCCACTGCAAGTCCCTCGCGCCGGAGTATAAAAGCGCAGCGGCGATTTTGAAGGAGTTCGGAGTGGTTCTGGCGAAAGTGGATGCGACCAAGTATGCGGATGTCAGCGAGAAATACAACGTGGAGGGATTTCCTACGATTGTGTTCATTACTGACGGAGAGTCGAAGCCGTTCAATGGCGGACGGACAAGGTAAGCTGAAGATTGCAAATCAGACGAAGATCTGAGTCAACTGCAAAATAAGAGTTGATGTCGTCCTGTTATTCGCTGAAGCAAATCCCGCCGTGCGGCGTAAATCGGAACGTTCTTTATCTCCTCGTTTCTGTATCATCTCTTTCTGTCTCTCTCTCTCTCTCAATCTCCGTTTATCTGCAGCTCTGAAATCGTCTCATGGGTGAAGAAGAAGATCGGCATGGGGGTGGCCACCTTCACTGCAGCCGACGTCGCCAAAGCGGCTCCTCTCATCGAGACCTCCGCTGCGGTTACCGTTGGCTTTTTCGCGTCTGCCGATGTAAGCCCGAATCGCGTTTTCCTTTGCAAGCTGAAACGTCGCGTGTAATTTCGTGTTTCGTGTTTTGTGGAAACAATTTGTTTCTTGTATCGTTTTATTGTATAAAAGTTTTGTTTTTATCCACATTGTCCATTTTATTCTGCGTTTCTCAGGCACCGGAGGCTGTCGCGTTCAGCGAAGCCGCCAAGGAGACTGACGGCGTGGAGTTTGTTCTCACGAGCGACGCTGACGTCGCTGCAGCGTTCGGCCTGGCCAAGGACAAGAAGCCAGCCGTTGCGAGTGTTAAGAAGGAAGAGGAGAAATTCGTCGTCTTCGGTACGTTATAGCAGCGTATCCGCGTCTCCCTTCTTGTTGTCGCTGCTAGTGTCCACCTGTGAGTGACGCCGACGTCGCTGCTGCGTTCGGCCTGGCCAAGGACAGCAAGCCCGCCGTCGCGATTGCGAAGAAGGAAGAGGAGAAATTCGTCGGTTTCGGTACGTCCTAGCAGCGTATCCGTCCTTGTTGTCGCTGCTAGTGGCTCGTTGTCAGTGCCAGCGTATCACGGAATGGGGAATTTGCACCTCGTTTGATGCTCCTAACGCATCACTTCTCATCGCAAGCGCTGCGCGGCTCTCACTGGCGGGTCCAGCTCATTGTGGGACGGATAATCGCATTGTGCCCCCCTTCGTTGTACGATCTTCCCCTGTTTCTGCCCGTGATCGTGTCTGCAGAACGCGAGTACACGAAACAGGCAATTGCCTCGTTCGTGACCGCCACAAGCTGCCGCTGCTCATCGCCTTCGCTCTCTCCCACTCCATCTTCCCCCTCTGTGTAAACTCTTCTTCCTGCCTTCACCCCTGCTGCAGACGGCGAGTATACGAAAGAGGCCATTGCAGCGTTCGTGACGGCCAACAAGCTGCCGCTGCTCATCACCTTCTCCGAGGAGACCTCGGCCAGCATCTTTGCTGGCGACATCAAGAAGCAGGTAGGATGTGTGGTTTGGCACCTAAAAGCTCTAGGGGGTACGCCTTGACAGTTGCGATCTGTCTGTATGTATGTATGGTACGTAACAAGCTGCCGCTGCTCATCACCTTCTCAGAAGAGACCTCGGCCAGCATCTTTGCTGGCGACATCAAGAAGCAGGTAGGCAAAGCTTTGGCAGTGTGCGATCTGTACGATCTCTATGTATGTACGGGTATCTAACAAGCTGCCGCTGCTCATCGCCTTCTCAGAGGAGACATCGGCCAGCATCTTCGCGGGGGATATTCAGAAGCAGGTGCGATGCGTCCTTACCTCAGGTGCGATCTGTACGCATGCGTAGCATTCAGCAAAGTCAAAGTCATTCCAGCCGCGGCTGCAGCAGCGAATGCCAAGTCTGATCGCTTCTCCTCACACTCCCTTGCCGCCTTCAGTAGCGTTTCTCTCCCTCCCTTCCTCTTACTCTCCCTCTCGCTCCCTCTCTCTGTCTCTCCTCCTCCACCTCGCCCTCAGATGATGCTGTTCGCCTCGCACGAGGAGTACCTCAAGATCGAGCCGGCCATGGCTGCCCTCCCTTGCCGCCTTCCGTCACACTCTTTTCAATCAATTCCCTTCCTCCTCAACTCCCTTCCCCCCACAACCCTTGTCTCCGGTGATGCTGTTCGCCCCGCCCCGAGGAGTACCTCAAGATCGAGCCAGCTGTGGCTGCCCTCCCTTGCCGCCTTCCCTCACACTCCCTTGTATCAATTCCCTTCCTCCCCAACTACCTCTCTCCCCCTTCGCCCTCTCGCAGGTGATGCTGTTCGCCCCGCACGAGGAGTACCTCAAGATCGAGCCAACCGTGGCGGCAGCAGCTCATCCATCTCTGATCGCTCTTCTTCGCACTCCCTTGTATCGTTTCTCTCCCTCCCTACACTCTCTTGGCCACCCTCTTGCTCGCTCCCTCCTCCTCTCAGGTGATGCTGTTCGCCCCGCACGAGAAGTACCTCAAGATCGAGCCGGCAGTGGCGGCAGCAGGGAATGGCATCTCCAAGTAGAGCTGGCTGTGAATGTTCGCCCTCTTCCTCCCTCCCCCTTCGCCCTTCTCTCAGGTGATGCTGTTCGCCCCGCACGACGAGTATCTCAAGATGGAGCCGGCGGTGGCGGCAGCAGCTCATGCCATCTCTGATCGCTCTTCTTCATACTCCCTTGTATCATTCCTCTCCCTCCCTACACTCTCTTGGCCGCCCTTTCGGTCGCTCCCTCCTCCTCTCAGGTGATGCTGTTCGCGCCGCACGAGGAGTACCTCAAGATCGAGCCGGCCATGGCTGCCCTCCCTTGCCGCCTTCCCTCACACTCCCTGGTATCAATTCCCTTCCTCCCCAACTACCTCTCTCCCCCTTCGCCCTCTCGCAGGTGATGCTGTTCGCCCCGCACGAGGAGTACCTCAAGATCGAGCCAACCGTGGCGGCAGCAGCTCATCCATCTCTGATCGCTCTTCTTCGCACTCCCTTGTATCGTTTCTCTCCCTCCCTACACTCTCTTGGCCACCCTCTTGCTCGCTCCCTCCTCCTCTCAGGTGATGCTGTTCGCCCCGCACGACGAGTACCTCAAGATCGAGCCGGCAGTGGCTGCTGTGGGGGATGCTTCCTCACACCCTCATGTCGTTTACCTCCATCCGCCCCTCGCTCGCAGGTGATGCTGTTCGCCCCGCACGACGAGTATCTCAAGATCGAGCCGGCAGTGGCGGCAGCAGCGAAGCAGTTCAAGGGCGAGCTGGTGTTTGTGTTCATCAACGGGTCGGACTCGGAGTCACAGCCAGTGCACGAGTACTTTGGCACGGATCCCAAGGAGACTTCGGTGAGTCCAGTGCGGTGCTGTGCGGTGAAACACAGGTGTAGTGTGGTTCAGTGCGGTGCAGAGCAGTGTGGTGGAAGGTCAAGAGCGAGCTGGTGCGGTGCAGAGCAGTGTGGTGGAAGGTCAAGAGCGAGCTGGTGTTTGTGTTCGTCAACGGGTCGGACTCGGAGTCGCAGCCAGTGCACGAGTACTTTGGCACGGATCCCAAGGAGACCTCGGTGAGTCCGGTGAGTCCAGTGCGGTGCAGTGGGGTGAATCGCAGGTGTAGTGTGGTGCGGTGCGGTGCAGTGCGGTGCAGTGCTACTTTACAGCTGGTTGTGAAAGTCAAGGGCGAGCTGGTGTTTGTGTTCATCAACGGGTCGGACTCGGAGTCCCAGCCAGTGCACGAGTATTTCGGCACGGACCCCAAGGAGACCTCGGTGAGTGCAGCGCGGTGCAGTGCGGTGAAACGCAGGTTTAGTGTGGTGCAGTGCGGTGCAATGCAGTGTGGTGGAAGGTTAAGGGCGAGCTGGTGTTTGTGTTTGTCAACGGGTCTGACTCGGAGTCGCAGCCGATGCACGAGTATTTCGGCACGGACCCCAAGGAGACCTCGGTGAGTGCAGTGCGGTGCCGATGTTTTCTCTGCCACCGACGCTTTTTCCCCATGAGGTGCAAGTGATAATGTTTTGTTAATGGGAGAAGAGGTACACGAACAGCTCAAGTCCAATCAAACAAAACCATAACGGTTTTCTTGTGCGCCCTTGCTCTCCCCTTTTGGGATGCCTGCTGTCTACCCGTGTGCAGGTCATGGGCTTCTTTATGGGAGACGAAGCGCGTCAACCGCTGGGGGGATTTTAGGCGTTTCAGCCCGGATTGCACACCTCACCTTGTTCCCCCGTCTCTGTCTGTCTGCCTGCCTGCCTGCCTGATGTCTACCCGTGTGCAGGTCATGGGCTTCTTTATGGGAGATGAGGAGGACCCCGCGTCAACCGCTGGGGGGCTCAAGTACCGCATGAAGGAGGCGATTACTGAGGCCAGCATTAAGGTGGGGACGCATGATGGTGGGGATAGATGAAGCATCAGGGTGGGAGAGAGTCAAGGTAACCTCGTCAATTGCTGGGGGGCTCAAGTACCGCATGAAGGAGCCCAAGAATTCAGCCACCCGTGAGCAATAAATCACTTACCCTGCACACTTGTCCTTCAAAGCTGAACCCTGTAAGCAAAGTGTTCAGTCTGTACTAAGTTAGCGTCATTTCTGCGTCTGAAAATACGTTTTCCCTCGAGACGCTTCAAAGACCGTATAAGAGCCTTATCGACGGAAATCAGGTTTGGTGCGCCTCAAAACCCCTTTTAACATACCATAAAACCTGTACACAATCCACCTGCTGCTTTGCACGCCCTCCAGGCATTCGCCAAGAGCTTCATCGCCAGGTATATTTCTTTAGTCGCCATTTTCTTTCAAGGCCCCTTAGGCTGACCACCCTGTGAACAGGCCATATAATTTGTACATTTCGTGCTCTCCCTTGCACGCTCTCTCCCTACAGGCATTCGCCAAGAGCTTCATTGACGGGGATCTGAAGCCCTTCTTCAAGTCCGAGCCTGCTCCAGAGAAGGTCAGTCAGTGAGGACAAGGGAGGCCTGAACTGCAACGTTGACCATGTCAACTGCAAGTCCGAGCCTGCTCCTGAGAAGGTCAGTCAGTGAGGACAAGGGAGGCCTGAACTGCAACGTTGACCATGTCAACTGCAAGTCCGAGCCTGCTCCTGAGAAGGTCAGTCAGTGAGGACAAGGGAGGCCTGAACTGCAACGTTGACCATGTCAACTGCAAGTCCGAGCCTGCTCCTGAGAAGGTCAGTCAGTGAGAGGCCTTTACTGCAAAATTTCAGAATGTCAAAGAGGAGTTTCTTGTCTTACAGGCCAAATTTGGCCGCACACATTCTTAAACCCTTCCCACTATCCTGCTCTCCCCCTATTTCTGTCTTCTTGTCTCCCAGAACGATGGCCCTGTGACTGTAGCGGTGGGCGTTACTTTCGAGAAGACTGCATGTTCTCTTAATTCCACTTATCTCTGCGCTAACTAATGCCCCTGTGCGCTCATGTTCTCTTCCCTGTTTTGTATTCCTCAGAACGACGGCCCTGTGACTGTGGTGGTGGGCGATACTTTCGAGAAGATTGTGCTGGACGAGTCCAAGGACGTGCTGCTGGAGGTGAGCGGGGGGTGGGGGAACGGTACAATGCGGTATTGCATGGTGCGGGAGAGAAGGGGCGATTGGGTAGGGAGTGGGCGGCACCTTTGAGAAGATTGTGCTGGACGAGTCTAAGGACGTGCTGCTGGAGGTGAGAGGGGGGGAGGGGAAGGGTAAGAGGCTTAGAGGCAGGATTGGATGGTGCGGGGGAAAGAAGATTGTGCTCGACGAGACCAAAGACGTGCTGCTGGAGGTGAGAAGGGTCTAGTCGAGGTGGTTGACTGATGACTTGTGTGCAAACAGTGGTTGGGTGGTGGGCGACACGTTTGAGGAGATTGTGCTCGACGAGACCAAAGACGTGCTGCTGGAGGTGAGAAGGGTCTAGTCGAGGTGGTTGACTGATGACTTGTGTGCAAACAGTGGTTGGGTGGTGGGCGACACTTTTGAGGAGATTGTGCTCGACGAGACCAAAGACGTGCTGCTGGAGGTGAGGGAGCAGTATTGGTTAGCGGGTGGGAGAGGGGAAGATACTTGAACAGAGGGAAGGCTGGTTGAGTGGGCAGTGGTGGGCGACACTTTTGAGGAGATTGTGCTCGACGAGACCAAAGACGTGCTGCTGGAGGTGAGGGAGCAGTATTGGTTAGCGGGTGGGAGAGGGGAAGATACTTGAACAGAGGGAAAGCTGGTTGAGTGGGCAGTGGTGGGCGACACTTTTGAGGAGATTGTGCTGGACGAGACCAAAGACGTGCTGCTGGAGGTGAGAGTAGGGTAGGGGAGGGAAATAATAAGAATTGGTTGTTGGGGGTGCTGGTGGTGGGCGATACTTTTGAGAAGATTGTTGCCGGAGGTGCGGGAGGGGCGTGCTGCTGGAGGTGAGGGAGGGGCGGTGGTGGGAGGGAGGGAGGAGTTGCTTTGGTTGGGAGAGAGAGAGAGTTTATTAGAGGGGTGGATGGGGGGAGCGAAAGCTGGTTGCAGTATTGGTGGGTGACACGTAACCAAGCACGCGGTACTGGAGGTGAGAGGGGCTGTCGGGATGAGGGGCGTTCGTGGGAAGGTTAGAGCAGTATTAGAGCGGCCACTGCAAGTCCCTCGAGCCCACCTACAATTAGCCTAAGACTTAAGCCCCTCCGATTATGCCCCTTCTTCTGCTATACCCCTCTGTCTGTCTTCAGGTGTACGCCCCCTGGTGCGGCCACTGCAAGTCCCTGGAGCCCACCTACAAGAAGTGTAACACTGAGCCCCCTCTCAATATATCCCTTGTTATACTTCACTCTTTCCCCAGGTGTACGCCCCCTGGTGCGGCCACTCCTCGCTCGAGCCCACCTACAAGAAGCTGAAGTCTTAATCACGGTTTTGTCCCTTATTCTCCCCTCCCCTCTGCTCCCCCCAGGTGTACGCCCCCTGGTGCGGCCACTGCAAGTCGCTCGAGCCCACCTACAAGAAGCTAATGTCTTTGTCACGGTTTTGTCCCTTACTCTCCTCTCCCTTCCACTCCCGTCAGGTGTACGCCCCCTGGTGCGGCCACTGCAAGTCGCTCGAGCCCACTTACAAGAAGCCTAAGACTTAAGCCCCTCCCATCATGTCCTTTCGTCTGCTCTCCCCCTCTGTTTCCCGCCAGGTCTACGCCCCCTGGTGCGGCCACTGCAAGTCCCTCGAGCCCACCTACAAGAAGCTGGGGAAGCGATTCGCGTCGGTGGACTCTGTTGTGATTGCCAAGATGGATGGCACTGCGAATGAGTACCCTGGCCTGGAGGTGCGTGTTGGGGGGTGGGTGGCTTGGAGGTGCATGCTGGGGCTGTGTGCCCAAGGGTAGGATAGGCGTATGGTCATGTGCGTCGGTGGACTCTGTTGTGGTTGCCAACATTGCCGGCACTGCCAACGAGTACCCTGGGCTCGAGGTGCGTGTTAGGGCTGGCTGTGTGACCAGTGGAAGGGTAGGCGTGACAGAACCCAACGGTAGAATAGGCATATGTGCCGTGTGAGTCGGTGGACTCTGTTGTGATTGCCAAGATGGACGGCACAGCGAATGAGTACCCTGGCCTGGAGGTGCGTGTGTGTGTGGCATTAGTGCGTATAAGGGTTGTGCGCATCGGTGGAGGGTGTTGTGATTGCCAAGATGGACGGCACAGCGAATGAGTACCCTGGCCTGGAGGTGAGGCACGTTAAGGCTTGTGGTGCGTGGGGGTTGGGTGGCTACTCATGTGTCTTGTCCGTCGGTGGATTCTGCTGTGATTGCCAAGATGGACGGCACGGCGAATGAGTACCCTGGCCTCAAGGTAAGTGTTGGTTGAGTCTGCCTATATGCCACTCCCGCTGGCAACGTGTCATCCTCTCTATTTGTTTGTTCACTTCTCTGCCTAAGTTTCAACCCCTCTACCCACATGTCACCCTTTCTGCCTCCAGGTTGAGGGTTTCCCAACCATCTTCTTCTATCCGGCTAACAAGAAAACCGACCCAGTAAGCCCACTCTCTCAAACCACCCCACACCCGCACCCCCTGACTCCTCCTTGCGCTCTCAAAACCCTCCCGCGCGGCTTCTCTCCCAACTGTCTTCTACAAACAAGATAGTTCAACAAGAAGTCAACCCTTAGTCTTCCCCTCTCAACTTCTACCCCCCAGCCTTCCCTAACCACCTTTCTCCCGCCGTTGCACCTTTCACCAACTTCACGTTCCAATTTCTGTCTCTCTCCTCCACGACCCATCTTGTCCAAACAACCCTCTTCCCCCGAATTCCGTTCTTCACCACCAGTATGCCAATGCCAACACTCTTTCCCACACCCCTTTCCCCTCCTCGACTCCTCCCCTTCCTCTACTTCTCCGCAACCCCGTGTCCTACCTTGCACCGCCACCACCACCAGACCTTTCTCGTAGCCCCTCTCTCTACTTCTGCACGTAACCATTTCGCACCATGCCACATCTTCCTGTCTTTCCTGCGCTACAGCACCACTTTATTATCACTATCTCCCATTACCCTTGTTCTTATTTTTTGTAATTGTTGCAAGTTTGGCGGTCAAGCTTGACTCCCTCTCATGCTTTCCCTCCTCCCCTACTCTGCTTAGAAACACAGGTGAAAGTGCAGGCCATGAAGCTGAAGCTGTTCATCAAGGTGATTGTCGAGAACGCTGGAATGCAGGAATTTACTTGGACCGCCTCCTCCCCCGCCCTCCCCCCCCTCCATCTTTCCTGTTGACTTTCACCAATTCAGGTGAAAGTGCAGGCCACAAAGCTGAAGCAGTTCATCAAGGTGATTGTTGAGAACGCTGCTATCAAGTTTGAACTGCCCGCTAAGGAGAAGGATTCAGGGGCAGCAGAGGTCGAGGGGGCTGCAGAGGCAGCTGGGGAAGAAGTGAAGGATGAGCTATGAGGAATAAGCAATGAGCTGTAAGCTACCTACGATTTATAAGCACTGATCCGTGAGCTACCGTGCACTTGGTGGGAGGTTGGTTGGGAAACAACCCCATGAGTCACATTCTACAGGCACATTTTACCAGAAAAGTATCAGGGTTGCCAGGATATGCTGTGTTAGGAATGAATGTTCCATTCCATGAGCTCAGATAATTCAATTCACGAGGGGTGCTAACCAAAACTTGCATCTAGCCAAGAGAGGCAACCCTAAATGTCACTGATAAATCCTCAGCAAGGCAGCTGAACGGAGAAAGGAACAAGTGGAACTGAAAAGCTGGACTTGCTTGACCGGGAAAGGCTACTTGGAGCTGCAGCAGACACAGGCAGGTGACGAAGACAGTATACGTTAGTTCTTGTACCAGGGCAGGGCTCATATCACCAAGCTACTGCTGGGACTGTGTGGGACTGGAATAATATGTAGAGCCCTCACAAAGTAGGAATGCAACGGAATGTGTGAACTAGGAAAACAAGGGATACAAATAGCAACCCTAAAAGTGTTGTACTCCCTGGAGTGCTACTCACTGTAGCCTAAGAACCTATAATAACATTTGACACACCCCCATAGGCTAAGTGAGGGGCATCAAAGCAAGCAGGGTGAACAAACGGTCACAAGACCAGTCAATGCAAGAAGCAAAGCAAGCTCAGGGTGGATCTCAAGGACACCACACAAATTCCGAGCACAAGCAAGCGGCCACAAGGCCAGTTCAAGAGTTTACTAGGATGTATATAGCAAAGCACAACAAGCAGAGCAAACATCAAGTCTACAGCAACCGAGGGCCTACCTCAACAAGCCCCAACTGCACACAGAACCTGTAGTGGTCACCAAGCGCCAGAGCCTTGGTGAAGACGTCTGCAGTGTTGGCCTCTGAGGCCACAAAGTCCAGGCGTGCCTGGCCGCGTCGCTGCAGCTCTCGCAGAAGGAAGTACCTGTCAGATTACAATTGTATCTCTAGGCTACAGTAGGGTCACTCCTTAGTGAGTACAACACTTTAGGGTTAGGTTTCCCCTACTTGTACTCACCTCTTGCCTAGTCCAATCCATCATTCCTAGTTCTATTCTTGACAGTACCTTACGTCAATATGCTTCACTCTGCTCTCCAGTCGAGGCTCTCGACAGAGGAGGATCATGGCCTTGTTGTCAGCGTACAAGGTCGGTGCAGAGCGAGGCCGCTCACCAAGGTCGGTGAGCAAGAAGGTCAACCAGCGAAGCTCCTGTGCCGCCATGGCACCAGCGTAGATCTCTGCCTCTGCACTGGAAGTAGCCACAGACGACGACCGTGTAGACCTCCATGACACAGCACCAGCTCCCAGACTGAAGCAGTAACCCTGAGTCGAGCGCTGAGTCTCCACGTCGTCAGCGTAGGAAGCGTCGCAGTGACCAGTCAACACCACTGGCTGAGTCCCTCCAAGCACAAGCCCCATGCCTGATGTAGTCGCCAGGTACTTCGCCACTCTCACAGCAGCTGTCCAGTGGACAGGACGGTGTCTCCCAGTCGCAACAAAGCGAGAAAGGATGCTGAGAGGAAAGGCGAGGTCCGGCCAAGTACAAGTCATCAGGTACATGAGGCACCCCACCAGCTCTGCGTAGGGACCACTAGACTCAAAGGGCTCGTCCGGAAAGGGACTAGTGAGTCAGTGGTCAACAGCAAGAGGTGTGGGCTGTGTGGTGGAGAACTGGAAGTCGAACTGCCGAAGGACCTGCTGCACCATGTGTGACTGAGTCAGTGTGATGGTGCGAGCGGCTCTGTCCCTGGTGATCTGCAGGCCAAGGTAGCGCTGCAGTTCACCTAGGTCAGCGCATTTGTGTCTCTTCTGCAGTTCGGACTTCACCTGAGCCAGAGCTGCCCTGTCTGCTGTGGCAAAGACCAAGTCGTCGACGTACACTAGTATAAAGAAAGGAGTGGAACCAGTGCGAACAAACAGCGACGGGTCGGCAGAGGAAGGACGAAAACCAAGGTCACGAAGCGTAAAGCGAAGAGTGCCGTGCCACTCACGGGGCGACTGGCGGAGACCGTAGACTGGCCGTCTCAGGCTCCACTGTGTCCCAGGTGGGAAGGCGTCAGTGAAGCCAGGAGGGCGGCGCAGCCAGATCTCCTCGTGTAGTCGGCCCTGGAGAAACGCAGTAGAGAAGTCAAGGGAGTGCAGCTCGTAGTCTCGCTGTGCTGCTACGTGCAGTAACACCCGAAGAGTAGTCATCTTCGGGGTCGGGGCGAAGGTCTGGAAGAAGTCAACTCCCTCACGCTGACTGAAACCCCTAGCCACGTAGCGCGCCTTGAACACAGGCGGTGAACCATGCGGCCGCTTCACCTTGAAGAGCCACATGCCATCGACTACGTTCGCCCTGGGAGGGGGAACTGCGTCGACGTAGGTGCCTGTGGATCTCCAAGACGCTAACTCTGAGGCCATAGCCGCTTTCCACTGTGAGGCCCACGCCCCTGACACTGCCTCGCGGTAAGTACGAGGAGTCGGTATGTCAAGGGCGTCGGGGTCTCCCTCAGAGGATAGCAGCATGGCACAGACAGAGGGAGAAGCAGCTGCCCAGTACTCCAGCTCAGACTCTCTGTCCTCTAGGACGTCACAGCCAAGGGCAAACTCACCCTTGACGGACAGAGGACGGGAGGGAGGAGCTGGCACCACACGGGTGGTGTAGTCAAGGCGACTGGCGGCAGCAAACTCAGCGAAAGTGACAGTGAGAGCCGAGACAGAAGACGGAGGGAAACGAGAGTTGGTGACAAGAGTGGCGAGGACAGTAGAGACAACAGGACGAACAGCGCGGTAGTAGTCAGTGACAGGAGTAGGGGGGAAAGGGAGAGAGGACGGAGGAGGAGACAAGAGAACGGACTCAGGAGGAGGACGACGAAGAGACGAACAAAGGTGGGCAGTGCGGAGGTCGGTAACGGGAGACGAGTGACGAGCACGCGGAGGACAGGGACGGACACGAGAGTGTGGGACATCAGGTGGAGGAGACTGCGGTGGAGGAGAAGACCAGACCGCCGGACGGTCGTCAGGAGGAGGAAACGTGGGACCAAACGCTAGAGGGGACGGAGTGTGAACAGGAGGAGAGGAGGGAAGACCAAGGGCCCGAAGGCCACTCACGGGTGGGAACAACTGCAGCTCCAGAGGGAGCTGCGGTGGGCGCGGCTGCGGCGGCGGTGTCTGCTGCTGTGGCGGCTGCTGCTGCTGCTGCTGCTGCTACTGGTGCTGCTGCTGCTGCTGCTTCTGCTGCTTCTGCTGCTGCTGCTGCTGCTGCTGCTGCTGCCGCTGCTGCTCCAGCAGGTCCAACTGCCGCAACTCCTGCCGCTCCCTCTCCAACAGCACCTGCTCCTCACGCTCACGCCGACGGGCCGCCTGGAGACGTGTGTCGTGGCGGTGGGGAGGCGGAGTGGACTCCGCAGAACCAGTGTCTCCAGCTCCAGTCTCCTCAGAACCAGCACCTCCAGTGCCAGCGCCTCCAGCACCAGCACCCCCAGAACCAGCACCTCCATGACTAGCACCTCCTGTGCCAGCACCTCCAGCTCCAGCACCCCCAGAACTAGCACCTCCAGTGCCAGGACCTCCAACTCCAGCACCCCCAGAGCTAGCGCCACCTGCGCCAGCACCTCCAGCTCCAACACCCCCAGGACTAGCACCTCCAGTGCCAGGACCTCCAGCTCCAGCACCCCCAGGGCTAGCGCTACCTGCGCCAGCACCTCCAACTCCAGCACCCCTCGAACGAGCACCCCCAAACCGAGTACCGCCAGTGGCTGCACCTCCAGCTCCAACACCAACCGAGTCCACAGTAACCTGTGGCGGAAGTACCGAAGGCTGCTGAGGGGACTGTGAGGAGGACTGCGGGGAGGGAGACGCTACCTGACGCGCGGCCGAGGGTAGAGGGGTAGCGTGAGACACACCTGACGGGGCAGGACCAGGGGGGGGTGGGGGTACCGGAGGAGCGGGAGCAGGGGGGAGAGAGGGTGCGAGGAAAAGGGGGGGAGGGGGAACCGGGAGACCTCGACAGGGGTACCGGGTGTAGTAGGACACTGACTCGTCGAACCGGACGTCACGGGAGTCTAGGAACTGGTGGAGGGGCGGGTGGTAAAAGGACCAGTCGGCCGAGGCTACCGGGAAACCAAGGAAGACACAGGGGACGGCGCGAGCCGAGAGCTTGTCCGCAGAGGTGTCGCGGACAAGCGCAAGGCAGCCCCAGACACGAAAAGCTGACCCAACACCAGGGGACCCGGTCCAAAGACTGGTCGGTGAAGCCTCTGGCCGCGAGACGCGCGGCTACAGGTTCAGCTGGTGAGCGGCGTAGCGAACCGCGTAGGGCCACAGAAAATGGGGCGCACGGGCATGAATCATCGACGTGCGGGCGATGTCCATGACCAAGCCAACGCGGCGCTCAGCAACCCCATTCTGCTGTGGGGACTCCGGCAGCGTCCAGGACTGTACGATGCCCTGCTCGCCGCAGAATCCGGCAAGAATGCCTGAGCGAAACTCACCCCCACGGTCAGAGTGGAGACAGGAGACACGACGGCCACGAGTGCCCTCAGTGGCTAGAAGCCACCGGATCAGCGTATAAGTCACCTCGGACTTCTTCGCGAGAGGAAACACCGTGGTGTACCTGGAGAAGTCGTCGACGACCACCAGAAAGTAGCGCTCCCTCTCAGGTGCAGGGCCCCAGACATCCAAGTGGAGTGTCTGGAAGGGAGCAGTGGCCGGACGAAGGGAGGAGGAGTGCGGAGTGGCACGAAGACGATCGGCGATGCAAGGAGTGCACGGCGGCGCAGGCGAGGGAGGGAGCGACGGGAAGACGCGAGAGAGACCTGAAACAAGATGGTGACTAGCCATAGTGCGGTGGCGGGGGATCGACGGGTGGCCAAGACGGTGGTGCCACAAGACAGTCCGGTGGGTGAAAGACCGACACGAGCAAGACGCGGCAACTAGACCGGACACAGCAACCTGACCGGACACAGCAACCTGA